CTTTCCCTCGACGACGCACCATTTCTTTAGTCGCACGAAACTGTCGACGGCGGAAAGGGATCGGTTTACGTCTTGCCCTGGTGAACGAGATACGTGTACATAACGCGAATACGCGGGGAAGGAGGGAAAACGCTGCGAGCGAGCATGACGAGGGAAGGGAAGGGAAGGAAAGGAAAGGGGGAGAAAGAGCGTTCAGTGAGCGAGAGAGGGAGAGAGAGAGAGAGAGAGCGCGTGCGTGGCGTTATCGTAAAAAACAGCGGGAGGAGAGAGAGAGAGAGAGAGAGAGAGAGAGAGAGAGAGAGAGAGAGAGAGAGTCGAGAGCAGAGGGTGTCGTCATACTTGCAGAGCACACACACGACGGGATTCCTCCGATAAGGCTCGTTCAGGTGAGACACGGTCGTAAGATGGACGCAAGGGGCGAGAGAGTCGACGCGTAACCGAAATTCGGGACAACCCCCCCGGGGTTCGGGTTTGAGAAACAACGCCAGAGCGTGGTGGTATCTCGATAATTCGTGAAATGCAACCGAGAAGGGACAAACGTCCGCCGACTACCGAATCCAATTCGACCGGTATCCACGCGATATCTCCTCGGCCGCTTCTTTTCCCACCGGTTACGCCAATGAGGGGATCGCGGCCGCGTTCGCTCGTCCCAACCTTTAACCGAGATTAGTCGAGATATCGCGGCACCCGTTATCACCGAAAATACACAGGGATGAAGTTTTCCTGCGCGTTCACCGACTTCTCTTCGCCAGCTGGTCGTCGGCTATGCGTCGTTCGCGTTCTCGCGCTCGCATATACGCGGCGCACCACCGTTCCTATTTCACGCGTTCCAGTCTCCAGCCGCCGCCACCATAGCGCGCAAGCCACCTTCTTCCGATTTAAATATCCCTTTTTATTTCAAAATAACCGATTCGATACAACAAACACACTTTTGCAAAAACATGCCAACATTCGTGGACCTTGTACGCGCAATCTTTCGCTCGCTGGACGCGTTTTCGCCGCCGTGCTCGTTGTCCGCCGTAAATAATCGGTAAACGCCAAGAAATTACAAGTTCGCGCGTATCGCATATACGTAAGCATTCGGACACGTCGGACGGCGTAGCGCAACTCGGCACGACGCCGCAACTAGATCGAGAAAGATAACGATTATTACCGATTCTTAAGTGTCTTCGACTCGACTTGCGCGGTACACTTTGAATCTACGCTTAATATCCTAGTAACGTTACTTTTTATTTACAAGAAAGAGAGAGAGAGAGAGAGAGAGAGAGAGAGAGAGAGAGAGAGAGAGAGAGAGAGACGGGGCCGACTATCGAGTATCGTCGGACCGATTTCGCTCGTCGTTGCAATTTCGAAAGCACGCGTAGAAACGCGCCAACGACGATACCGAACGTCTTCGAGAGACAGAGACAAAGAGAGAGAGAGAGAGAGAGAGAGAGAGAGAGAGAGAGAGAGAGAGAGAGAGAGAGAGAGAGAGAGAGAGAGAAAGAAAAAAAACGTTCGTTTCGCGTTCTTTCTCACACGCGCGAATACGCGCTTTTCAGCAAAACTATTTACAACGAGTCTCTTCTCGACGCCGCAGTTATAATTCTACGAAACTTACACGCGAAATTGTTCCCATTTTCGGCACAGAGATCGGATCTCTCTATCCAACGCGTATCGTAAATCCAGTCTTTCGCGATTCCGCGCCTTCTCCCGTTCCCTCTCGCCGACGACTCTGGCCGCGCTTTCGTTCTCGTTCTTTTCTTCGTCGTTACGCCGTAGATGGAACGCGCGACGGTAAGAACAGCGAGAGAGAGAAACGATGGAAAGAAAGAAAACAGTGAAACGGGAAGAGAAAACTAAACGATTTTTCCTTTTCTCCTTTTCTCCTTTTTTTCTTTTTTCTTTTTCTCCTCTGTTCCCGTTTTTTCTACCGTCTCTTTTCTTCTACCGTCCCTTTTACGCGCTATCCAAAAGAAACGAAACGAAACGAAACGAAACGAAACGAAACGAAACGAAACGAAGCGAAACGAAACGGATAGGAACAATGGTTCGCCGGTAACGTCTTCTGGTAACCGTGATCTAGCGCGACCGATCAACGACGCGGCTTTAAGACGACATCGAGACAACGGTCGGCCTGTCCAGGTGACCGTTGTCCAGAATAATTTTAGTAGCCGCTGCGCCCGGCGACGAATTGCCAAGAGTGACGATGTGCGGGGCAGCCAATTGATGATGATCGGGAGAGTGACCGGCGGATATCATAACCGGCGACCGATTGGCGCAAGGCGGCGAAGGACACTCCACTTTCGGAGAATGCGTCTCGATCAGCTGCTGGTGTTGATGCTGATGTTGCTGTTGCTGCTGCTGTTGCGGCTGCTGCTGCTGCTGCTGCTGCTGCGAGGCGATCATGTCGTAATACATTGCAGGCGTGGTGGATTGGTGCGAAACGATCCGGCTGGACGGCTGTGGGCTGTCGTAAAGGTTGCCGTCGAACCTCACGTGAACCATCCCGCGGTGATCCACCATCGTCACTTCTCCGTAAGGACCTGCGCAAACGTTCGAACGCGCGTTATAAACGTACACACACTTGTCGCCGTTTCCGATCATCGTCGTCGTCGCTTTACGCTTACCTGTTTCTAGCTTCAAGCCGTTATTGTTGTTGTTATTGTTGTTGTTATTGTTGTTATTGTTGTTGTTGGGGGCGGCGACGTTATTGTTGTTGTTGGCAGTGGCGAGGGTGGCGTTGTTGTTATTGTTGGAGAAAGTAGCGACGGCGGTACCGGTCGGCGTGTCGCTGCTTTTCATTCCACCCTTCGGTTTCCGCTTGCGGGTCTGAATGCTGTCCTTCTTCATAGTGTGAGGCCTGTTCACGCCGTGCAGTTTGAAATAAAGACCGCACGCGTTGCACACGGGTTCGCCCAAGGTGTTTCTGCGCCACAACGACGTCATCGTCGTTTGGCAGTTACTGCAAGAAGTGCCTACTCGTCTCGAAGCGGACTGCGGACACACGAAATCTCGTTAGTTCGCGTCTCTAGGTTTCATCCGCCGGTTCACCGACTCGGACGGAACCGGAAGGACGGACAGGGCCTGTCGGCACCGTCGAACAGACGAATCGACGGATCGAAGAATGGGCGCGAAGGAGAAGGAAAAAAAGAAGCAGAGGGGTGAAAGGACGGGCGAAAGAGAGGCGGCGAATGGAGGTGCAAAAGGAAAGAAATCGTACGTCTACCCGGTTAACCTGTGCGCTGACTCGCGACGCGTTCTACGACCTGATCGCGCGCACACGCGCGAGACAGCGTACGGCTCTCTACACGCTCACCGCGCGAAATCACGCGTGCCTGATGCAAACTCGAGCAAACTCGAGCAAACTCGACTACGGAAGAGAAAGAGAAAGAGAAAGAGAAAGAGAAAGAGAAAGAGAAAGAGCAAGAGATGGATCGTTCGTTTGCCGATTTTACTCGTCCACGAACCATCTCGTGTAATACGCGACACTCGCGGTCTACGTCGTTTTTTCAGGCTACGCAAGATTTCGAAACGGAGCGCGATCGTACCATGGGTATAGTGGCACCTCGAAGCTACGACGAATTTTCTTTCGACCGGTAGTCGTCGCTATTTTCTAGCTACGCTGGAAAACTATGTGTCGTCGTAGTCGTAGTATCAGTCTTAGTCTTAGTCTTAGTCTTAGTCGAAACGAAACGAACGCCGAAGGAAAGTACAAACGTATACGATGATAATGATCGAGACGAAGTCATCGATGAGACATATGATTATCGCGATACAAGGATACGAGTGTGCGCGAACCAGATGATACGAACGAGAGAAAGAAAAAGTAAAAGAGGAGAGGAACTTTGAAATTTGCGAATCAGCCGGCGAGTGGGTGTGCGTGCGTGCGTGCGTGCGGGCGTGCGAGCGAGCCACGAGCGAACAATCGGAGAGAGAAACAGAGGAGAAAAAGAGAGAAAGGGGGAATGAGAAAGACAGACATACGTGGATGCGCGTATTTACGCAAGCAAACGATCGATCGAGCGAGCGAGCGAGCGAGCGAAGAAATGAGCGAGTGAATGAGCAAGCGAGTGAGTGAGCGAGTGAGTGAGTGTTGGGGATGACACCTACCAAACGCCGGCTCGATTTCTCCTCGAAGGCGCGACGGGCGCCACTATACCCACAGAAGCCTTTGTAGAAATCGCCCTGGTCCGCCACTGAAACAGAGACAGGATGCCAAACGTTAGGGGTGCTTCTATTCGGACTTAACGCGCGTGTCGCGCGGAATCTCGCGGATACACCACGCGTGCGTACCATCCGCGAAATCGCGTTCACAAGCAAACGAAACGAACATTCGCTTCGTTCGTCAAACGCGATCATCTTCTATCGTCCCAACGTGCTACGAGGACACGAATGGCAAAACCATGGATCGCAGAGGCCCACGCGCTTATGGACACGGGCGAATTTCCACACAGGCTCCTGTTCTATATTACACGCGCGTCTTTGCGCGTCTAATTCTCCGTACACGGGGTTCGATTTATCTTCTTCTTCTCCGCGTTGCCGTCGAAGTCCACGAACCATCTCGTGTAATACGCGACACTCGCGGTCTACGTCGTTTTTTCAGGCTACGCAAGATTTCGAAACGGAGCGCGATCGTACCATGGGTATAGTGGCACCTCGAAGCTACGACGAATTTTCTTTCGACCGGTAGTCGTCGCTATTTTCTAGCTACGCTGGAAAACTATGTGTCGTCGTAGTCGTAGTATCAGTCTTAGTCTTAGTCTTAGTCTTAGTCGAAACGAAACGAACGCCGAAGGAAAGTACAAACGTATACGATGATAATGATCGAGACGAAGTCATCGATGAGACATATGATTATCGCGATACAAGGATACGAGTGTGCGCGAACCAGATGATACGAACGAGAGAAAGAAAAAGTAAAAGAGGAGAGGAACTTTGAAATTTGCGAATCAGCCGGCGAGTGGGTGTGCGTGCGTGCGTGCGTGCGGGCGTGCGAGCGAGCCACGAGCGAACAATCGGAGAGAGAAACAGAGGAGAAAAAGAGAGAAAGGGGGAATGAGAAAGACAGACATACGTGGATGCGCGTATTTACGCAAGCAAACGATCGATCGAGCGAGCGAGCGAGCGAGCGAAGAAATGAGCGAGTGAATGAGCAAGCGAGTGAGTGAGCGAGTGAGTGAGTGTTGGGGATGACACCTACCAAACGCCGGCTCGATTTCTCCTCGAAGGCGCGACGGGCGCCACTATACCCACAGAAGCCTTTGTAGAAATCGCCCTGGTCCGCCACTGAAACAGAGACAGGATGCCAAACGTTAGGGGTGCTTCTATTCGGACTTAACGCGCGTGTCGCGCGGAATCTCGCGGATACACCACGCGTGCGTACCATCCGCGAAATCGCGTTCACAAGCAAACGAAACGAACATTCGCTTCGTTCGTCAAACGCGATCATCTTCTATCGTCCCAACGTGCTACGAGGACACGAATGGCAAAACCATGGATCGCAGAGGCCCACGCGCTTATGGACACGGGCGAATTTCCACACAGGCTCCTGTTCTATATTACACGCGCGTCTTTGCGCGTCTAATTCTCCGTACACGGGGTTCGATTTATCTTCTTCTTCTCCGCGTTGCCGTCGATCCTCTTACGGCGCGGACGAGAAGTCTGACAATCGTCCCGACAAACGAAGAAACAGAGCGAAAAGGAGTGAAAGACAGAGAAAGACAAAGAAAAGGCAAGCGAGTGAGAGAGAGAGAGAGAGAGAGAGAGAGGGAGAGGGAGAAAGATTGAAAGATAGAGAAAGAGAGAGGGAGAGAGAGAGAGAGAGAGAAAGAGAGAAAGAGGAGAGAGCGAGAAACGATATCGACGATGAGCGTGTACTTTGCTCGTTTCGTCCTTCGTTTCTTTCGATCATCCAATCTTCCTTTCTTCCTTCCTTCCTTTCTTTCTTTCTTCCTTCCTTCCTTCCATCCATCCATCCATCCATCCATCCATCCATCTATCCTTCCTTCCTTCCTTCCTTCCTTCCTTCCTTCCATCCTTTCTTCTTTCCTCCTTGCTTCCTTACCAATCGCCGAGGCTGCTTCACCAAGGGTCGATTCATGCCGTTCATCTTGTGGTAGAGACCGCATGCGTTGCACAGGTAATGGCCCGTACCGTCTCGCCGCCACAGCGGAGTAGAAATTGCGCCGCAATTTACGCACTCGCGGCCCTCCGTAAAGTATTCCGCTTCGATGTTGTGCACTGCGCGATTCGTACAATATTCAAAATGGAATCTGCTGCTCGGTCGTGTGGCGAAACAACGCGCGCACGATACCGATGTATCTCGAATTTCTTTTCGCCTTTTCGTTCGGTCGTCCGTTCCGTTCTCGTCGGTAGAGACCGAGGACTTTCGAAACGACGGCAAACGCAAAAGCTACTTTCTTTCGACGAAACGCGCACGTTTCAAGGACCACGCATTGTCCTTGGAAAATCGCCTGGAGCGAGGTCCGATTAGGAAAGTGGACTAAGTTTTCCCGATACCTCCGGGCAATCCTTTCACCGATCGCTCGGGGAGGAAGCGGAAAAGCGCGGACTTTTTCTCCAGCTGTTCCTCGGAAAATTCCTCGATTCGCAGCGAACGTCGGCGTGGACGTGGACGTGGACGTGGACGTGGACGACGACCACAAACGGACGCGACCAGCCGAGTACGTGCTTGCGCGAGAAGAAGGATACAGGAAACGCAGCAACGCGCGACAAAGGATGTAGAGGGATACGGCGTTATCGGAATTTCCGGTGTTGCTCGATAATAATAACTAGCAGTCGTTGCCTGTACGCGCCACTACGACGAGTACCGCTACCTTACCAAGAGTATACACAGCTCGTGATCACGGTTTCGAAAAAACGACCAACGATAATCGCTGCAGCGAGAAACGGAGTCGCGACTCGACTCGGTCTCGCGTTACTCTCCGGGAGAGAGCAACATCGAAACGAAGAGAGGACAAAAAGGTCGGCGTACGGCAGTCGCGCATCCGGCAGAAACGAGACTGGGAAGCAATCGGATATCGTATATTAGTAAGCAAAGAAGAGCTGACGTCGGCGTCCATCTTACGATTCTTAACCGCTCCGCGACGCGACTCGGCGAACAAACCGAGAGACCGAGTAAAGACAAAGTGTACAGACGGACACAGAGAGAGAGAGAGAGAGAGAGAGAGAGAGAGAAGCGAACGTTCTCGCGCTTTGCCGACAGTGCAGGAGAAAAGCGGAATAGCCGATCGGTCACCAACCAGTCTTTCTTCTTCTCCGACCATGTCCACGTTTCTCCGCACTGTAGGATTTTCGCCGGAACCGATTTCGATGCGTAACAACAACGAGGAGAGGGAGGAGGAGGAGGAGCAGGAGCAGGAGGAGGAGGAGGAAGAAGAAGAAGAAGAAGAAGAAGAAGAAGAAGAAGAAGAAGAAGAATGAGAAGAAGAAGAAGAAGAATGAGAAGAAGAAGAATGAGAAGAAGAAGGCGAGCGTGAGCGCGTCGCGCCGATGCCCTCACACGGAAACGCTAGATATGCTCTTTGTAACCGAATATTCAACGGCGACCAAGACGCCGTCGTACAGAAGATGACGAAGCGACGCGGAATGAGAATGGCAGAGTCGAATTACTCGACCAAGACAACCATCGAGCACCACAGCAGGAGCGAATACGCTTCTAATTCGTCCCAACGTATATCGCGTATACGATACTTCACGCCGGAAGGTGGTAGAGGAGGAGGAGCAACAGGGCGATCGAATAGCGAGCAAAGGGTTCGAGACGAGAGATGACAGAGCGAATAACGATCGAATGGACGATGACGACGATGACGACGACGACGACGGCTAAATACACGATCCGACGAAACGAAAGACCACGCGCGTATAGATAGAGGTTGATGCCGGAAGAAACGGCAGGGATGGGTGGTCTGGCGAGAAAAAGCGCAAGACCAGACGGGGGCGCGTGCTGGCAAACGGAGCGGACGCGTACCGGGATCGGGTGGCGCGGATCGTGGATGCGTTTGCCATCGGTTGGCGTCGCCGTTCTTTCCTCGTGCGTGCACCACCAGAACCCACTCGAGATCGCGGTATGTTAAAAGCCATATCCCTCGTTCTCCCCTTGGCTTTCGGTTAAAGTAGCGAGCCGCGTCGAAACCGCAGACGCACACCCACCGCTTTCCAAAAGGATCATGCGCGCCACTTAAAAAGCTTTCGACTCGACTTCTTCTTCTCCTCCTCCTCCTCCTTTTCCTCCTCCTGCTGCTCCATCTTTTGCAATCATCTCGGGCTATCCCAACACGCGCATAGCCATCCTCGTCTCTTCGTCTACGAATAATCATCTCGAGAGCGGACGCGGCGATTCAACGCATCCAGAAACGGAAACGCAGACACACAGACACAGACGCGGCGGCGTGCGCTCGCGCAATCGAGCGAACGTGGCACTCCGCGACCGACGCGTAACGACGGCTCGGCGACGGCGGCGCGGCGACGGCGCGGCGACGGCGCGGCGACGCAGGGTGCGAAATGGTCGTTATTTTTTTCTTCTTCGCGCACGCTCGGACAAGGCGGATCTACGACGTCGATCGAAGTAAAAAAAAATGAAAAAAGAAAAAAGAAAAAAGAAAAAACAATCCGATCGACCTTTTGAACCGGTCGAGTCCTTCGGAGAGATTGCGACGCGTGATGCACTCGACTGGAGAGCGTTATCGCGTCGACCGTCGTTATTACAATAATGCGGCGTAAAAATAACCGATTCTCGAGAGCACGGGTTTTCACCGATCGCGAATCGCAAACAACGGGAGAGACATTTTTATCGCGCAAACGAACCAAAGCGACCAACAACTTTCCATTCGGTGGACGGCGGCGCTGCCTCGACGTCTGTGCCGTTAACGCGTGCCCGTTCTACGCCTACAACTTATCCCTCTTCATCTTTCTCCTCTTGTACAGACCGACGACACTGCAAAGTCGTCTCCGCGAAACCACTTTCGAAACGACCGATGCCGAAACCATCGCGCGGAGAATTCGCGACGAGGAAAACGAAGCTCCTCGTCAACAGAGAGTTCGATACCGACTAAAACGCGATCGCGGTTGCCCGTTCGAGTTATCTAAATTTCGCGGTCCCGAAACACACGACTAGATACGTAAAAGTCTATTATCGTTGCCTCTATATCGCGCGTAGACAAAACTAGATTGGAAGTACGACCGTTGTCTAGGTCAGGGTCATCGTATATCAATGCCCGTTTCGATACCGAACCACCGACCACATGACACACGGCGCGTTAACCGAAACGTGCGCCGCCGCGACGCGTCCAGAAGCGTATCGAGAGAAACCCTCTTCTTCTCTTTCCCAAAAGATCGCGATCGGCGCCGCGAATTCCGTTCCACGGGGATCGTCGAAAACGTTTGCTGGCGCGCGAAGCGAACCGTGTCCGATCGGTCACACGCGTCGGCGACCCGTGCAACCGATAACGTCGTCTCCACACTCGTCGCGATAACCACGAAAATTCGTACCATCGTCGGATATACCTCTATCCCTTCGTTGCGCCAATCCCGAGTACATTTCCACTTCTTATTTCGTACGAAAGATAACGCGATGCGATCCGGAGGAGCGGTAAATATATATATATATATTAAAACCCCGCCACCGGTAAAACGAAATACCGCCTCGGATCGAATCGCGTTAGCCACACGAATCGTTCAACCAAAGTACCGAAATAGGGGAAAGATAGAAACGAGAGAAAGAGAGAGAGAGAGAGAGAGAGAGAGAGAGAAAAGAGACTGGGACACGTTTGCCTGCGTGAACAGAGAAACTGGAGGGAAAACGTGTAAAAGAGAGCGTAACGCGATAGTCTTCTGGACCCGTGTGCGCACAGGCCTCTACTACTACTACTACTACTACTACTACTACCACTACTGCTACTACGCGTAACTTTGGCCACCGACGACGATGTCCGTCGCGAGGTCGGAAAATTTGTCTCCACGACTCACGCGTACTCCTCTGTCCTCTTACCCACCCTCTCTCGCTCTCACTCTCTCTCACTCGTTAGTCGTCCGATGAATTACGACGAAACACCGAGGGTGTAGCACCGAATTTGGGGTCCGATCGAATCCTTTTCTCGTTATTTACGATCTCCCTGGAACACGAGCCAACCGATGCGTGCTTTGCCGTTGCTTCGCGTTCTCTCCGAATCGTACACGATTTATCGCCTTTCCGAGAGCACGCATCCATGTACGTATACGCGTAAGCCGTGTAACGCGAAACGGATCGTCCTGCGTATATAACACCGACGGACGATTAGGAATCGATTCGGAAACCGAACGAACGGAACGCGAAAAGAGAAAAGAAAAAATAAAGAGAGGGAGAGGAAAACGAGAAGAAGAGAAACGGACAAGAACGAACGCGATCGAGAGAATGGAGAAACAACGCGTGGGGAAAAAAAGAAAAAGAAAAAGAAAAAGAAAAAGAAAAAAGATGAGAAGCGAAAACTTACTTGCGCTGAGACTAGCGGTGGCGGAGAGCTGATGCTGCGTTGGCGTCGACGGAGGATTGACCGTCTGTCGCCTCGAAGGGGTAGCGTATTGAGTCGTCAAGGTGTCGTTGGACGGCGAAGCGTAGCCCCAGGTCGAGGCTTCCACGGACGCGGCCCCGACTCCACCGCTGTTCTGTTGACTGGCGTACGACGGACTGTATCCGCGGAAACTATACCTACCGCAAAACGGCTGCGCGAAACCTGGCAGGGCCTGATGAGTCACCGAACCCGGTGACTTGCCGCTACCGCTGTAATCCTCCGAGATCGCCGAGAGTCCCGTTCCCAAACCTATCGGTGGTTCAAACGATCGATCCATCAATCGATTCGTCGTAATTGGCTTTCATCGGAATCCGGTAGAAACTTACCTTGCGCGTTCCACAATTGCTGAGGCGATGCGGTCAATTCCGTAGGGCTGCCGCCGGTCATGTAAGAGAGACCGTAAGCACCGCCGGTTCCTGTCGCGTTGGCTGACGGCATGCCGCTCACACCACCGCTCATCGGACGATACAACGGACTGAAACAATCGTAACGATACGTCCAATCCTGTCGCGCTGATAAACGCCCCTCCACCCTTTGCCATCGATCGGATTTCGGATCGAGAAGCCATCCGATTCCGTTTACGATCCACGGCCGAGCGAACGAAGAAACAACGAAGAGAGAGGAAGAATGGAAAAGGAAGGGAAGGGGGGGGGGAGGTTCGGGAAACGGAAAGGAAAGGGGGAGAGAGAAAAAAAAAAAAAGGACTAGAGAGGAAGTACTAGACGAGGTAACCTCGGTGTTATACACGGGTTCGGTAATGTTTCGCGGGAGGCCGGAAGCCGGAGAACCGTTCACCGATCCATCGGCCTGTAAATGCGGGCGCGTGCCAAGGCAGGAGCTTTTTCGATGTTCCTTTCCGACCAACCACTACCCGGAACACGACTACTCCATTACCATTACCATTGCCATTACGGTGGCTATTAACGCTCTACCGTTACCATTAGCATCGCCGACAGCCCTCTATATTCGTACCTGACAGTCACGGACGAGTCGACGAAAAATCGCGTACGATTCTTGCGGAAAATCGTCACCGAAATCCTCGAAACGCCAGACAATCCACGGACGGTCTTTCCTCTTGTCGCAGTGGTTGCGCAACGCGGCGGAACGTCGCGAAACACCGCGAAACACCGCGAAACACCGCGAAACACCGCGTACACTCGCGATTTCGACGATAACGTGCCAGATGCAGCGTACGAGTTCGACTCTTTCTCTTTATCGCGTGGGACGCCGGGGAAGCCGCCAAAAAGAACACGTCGTGGATCGCGCGACGCAAAGCAAAGCGAAAAACGCGCGACCTTGAGGTTTTCCACGACTCGTCCGACACGTACCGTTCGATCGGTACGTGCTCGCCGAACGATTCGCGTATTCTCCCGGAACGATTTCGCGCCAAACTCGTTGGAACAACGGTATTCGACATCGATAACCGAGTAACCTCGTCCTTCGAACGTTCAAACATCGCGATTCGCGAAACGTAAAAGCGCGGAAACGCGTACAAGCGACGATCGTACGCGACGAGAAGATCGATCCGACACGTTCGCCCTTGCTCCTTTTCCCAGCTGCTACCACCTCTGCTGCCATCTCTGCTGCCACGAGCGCCGTGAACCAAGAAGGCACAGGACGCGTTCGTTACGCGCTGGTAATTTCTACGACACCACGACCACCACGACCACGACGACCACGACGACCACGACGACCACGACGACGACCACGACGACAACGACGACGCGTGAGCAACTCGTCTCTCCGGACGCGGTTCGTTTCACCGACACGCGACAAACGGACATCGCGTTTCCCTCGACAACGTTTTCCGACAACGCGCTCGAGCGGATACTCGATCTCTCGATACGATTCCAACAGATTTATTACGCGTACGTTATCTCTGTGGCGATTAATAACGCGGTCGCGTCTATGGGTTCTTGGACGGGATCGAAAATCGAGACGGCTAGGAGTCGACCGATGCGATTTCGCAGAAAATCGTCGAGCAATGACGCCATATGCGCAACCCGACCAGCTCGTACGCGCGCATCGTAGGCTGTATACGCGTTGCGTATACAAAGGCGACGCGTATACTTTCCTACGTACTCGATGTGGCCCCGGAAACTTTAATAACCAAGCGCGATCGCGTTTCTTCCGAGAACCTTCCCGAGAGAGTCTCTCTCGATCGTAGCCGGTTACCAGACCAGCAGCAGCGGTCGTTCTAATCACTCTCCCATCCCACGCGTAATCTCTCTCTTTCTCTCGCTCTGTTTAGAGAAACACGATCGAAGGGAGAGAAAAGCGCGAGGAAAGAAGATATTTCGGTCAGTTCGCGAAGAATGCAGATATCGCGAAACCCAATCTAGAAGGTCGGTAGCGGACAGGGTTATAGCCCCTGTTACCGGATCGCTATCTGAATCCAGCGAGTCGATAAGCCGCTTCTCACGATAGCGCGCGTCACTGGTAGCGTGGCGGGAAGAAGAGAGAGGTGAGAGAGGTGAGAGAGGTCTCCGAGGTCCTCGGCAACGACACCGCGCGTTTCTCCACGGGGATACGGGGATACGGGGATACGCGGATACGCGACAGCCGACCATCCGCCCACCACGCTTCTGGACCACGGTTTTCGCAAACTCGCGGAAAATAGATGCGACGCGTGGCGATCCGAGTTTTCGGTATTCCGTGCTCGGAGGGGAAAGGGAGCGAAATCCGACTCGAGCCGCGACGACCACCTTCGACCCGAAGTCGAGCCGCCGAGTTTATTTACGAGCAATGTTTTCGCCAACGTTATCGGTTTCCCATTTACTTTGTTTTCGTTTCGCGTTCGCAACGAAGCACCGATAAAAACGAAACGTCGTTTGCTCGCGCGGTACGAGTACGAAACATGGGAAGGGGTTAGATGGCGGCGCGGTAGCGCGAGGAGCAAGGTGAAACGTAACAGGACTATTATAACGCGCGGTAAGAGGGATACGCGTGTCCCGAACTCGAACTTTGTTCTACCGAACGCGGTGATCGAACGCGACCAACGACCAAACGAACGGAAGGTAACAACGCATATCGGAAACACTCACTACATGATCGTCGTTTTCCCCTATAGATCCTTCCTTCGCTTCCGGCTCCTTCCTCTTTTCCCTCGTCCTCCTCCTCCACCGCCACCGCCACCGCCACCGCCACCGCCACCACCGCCTCCTGCTCCTCCTCTCGCTCCTGCTCCTCGTGTTCGCACCCCCGATAAACTCGAAAGAAAGCAACGAATTTCTCTCTGGTCGACGACCACCGCCAACAACGAGGCCGACGACGATCGTTTCACCCAACGGGAGAACCAACAACGTGTGCGGAAAACGTCGAAGCGAATGGCGTCGGAGGACCTCGAACACGGTCAGGATTTCCCCTTCCGCGAATCTCTCCCTTCCTCTCTTCCTTTTCTACGTTCCTTTGCGCCCCCCTCGCCGTGCTTCGCACCCGCCCCCGCTCGCTCTCTCCCTCATCTTCTTCGCAAGCAAATCCCCACTCTACCGTTTCCGATCTACCGCCGTGTATACGCGACCAATCCTGCGACCGCCGACCGTTAACCACCCGACCGTCTACCGTCCACCGCATCCACGAACCACCACGACGACCACGACCACGATTCAATCGCGGGATTCCTACACCTTTATATCCCCCTTGGTTAATTGGTCGAATGCGGTGAACGAAAATTCTCGCGTGTGTCTCTAACGACATCCGTAGTATACGCGTAGTAACCGCACGTGAACGGGAAAAACGTCATTGATAACCACCGTCGTCGTCGTCGTGGTCGTCGTCGCGATCGTCGTGGTGGTGATCGTGATCGTGATCGTGATCGTGATCGTGGTGTGGTTGTAGCGGGCGATCACACGCGGGGACAATAATTTCTCCTTCGAAGCTCGTCTCGCGTTGCGCGAGCAAAAACGCGGTAAGAAAAAACCGAGAACACGCGTCTCGCGTTACTTTCATTCACCGCCATCCACCGTCTTTGCACCATCGCGGCACAAACGACCATTTCTTTCGCAACACCGCTTGCTTTGCCTTCCTTTTTTCCCCACTTTTTTTTTCTCACTCTCTCTCTCTTTCTCTCTCACCATTCCTATCTTTACGATTCTCTCGCGCGCACTCTGTCGCGTTAAGTAGGTATATACGAAAACTCGTATACCCGATACGCGAGATATACTGGATCCCATTGGGAAGAACGCGGTTGCACGAGCCTCTGTCTCGTCAAACGATACCGAAAGGTTTCTCGGAACGCGATGGGTACGCGTCTATGACGACTGAACTGTAAACCCTGGGGATGATTCACGGTCAAACTTTTGCGTCAGAGATCAACGATTACCGTTTCGCTCGTCATTCCTCTTGCTTTCGTTTCCGTTTGCTCGCTCGTCCGTTCTCGCACTCTCCGACCATAGTCGTGGACAATCGGTGAAACGAAAGAATGGGAGAGGAGAGGAATCTCTGCCCGACTGGAATCCGGTGGCGCGATAGATCGATCGGTGGTGGACGGTAAACGAGAGCTCGACTTTGCGTCATCTCGGCTCTCTTAGCGCGCTATAATCGCGACAACGAGAGATACCCCGCAAAAAGAGAAACGAAAAGCAGATTGTCCTCTGCACCCGAACTCGGAGATATCTAAATTCGAAGGTCGTGGCCCGTGCACGCGCTCGCCGCATGAGGAAATCGTTCGACGAAAACACCAAAGTGACGAAAAAACGAACAGCTGGCTGGCGAAACGGCATTTCGAATTATTCCAATTATTCGAATAATTCGAACAATTCAAACAATTCAAACAATTGGAAGAATTGGAAGAATTGGAAATACCGGTATCCCAGGGTATACGCTAGGCTAGGCGCGTGGTAGAATCGGTGGTGCACGATATCGCGAGATGCAACGCGAGCGGAGAGACGCGGCGCGAACAAGTAACCCGCGCGATCGAACAATCGTTTCTAATCGGAGTCAATAAACTCCGTTATCGCGGTAACGTAAAAAGAGCGAGATCTCGTGTCTGGGTTGCGCGCGAATCGATTCGAGCGAACCAAGAGAATCACGCGTGTATACCTACTAACCAACGGCGGATAGCTCGGCGATTCGTTACCGCTGCAAACCCCGTTCGGCCGAGAAGAGGACGAGAGGAGGACGAGAGGAGGACGAGAGGAGGACGAGAGGAGGACGCGAACGGCTCGTGCCCGAACCGATCGGGCAAACAAATACCGATTATCGTTGTTATTCTTCTTGTTGTTAGGATGGTCGAGAGACCGTTGTTCGTTCTCGCGAAACGCGAATGTTGGCACAGGGCCCGAGAAGCGTGGTCGCGCTGTCGTTTTCTTTCATCGTGGTCGGTTTAGCTTTGTTTTCGGTTTCGTATCGCCTACGTATACAATACTCGGAGGACACGGTGCATCCCTTAAGCCGGCGTGTAAATAATCGCGCGTACGGTAAAGCTCTCCGGCGGATAGGAGAACGCGCGAGTCCGAAACGGTATAACAACCCCACCCCCCCGACACTGACCTGGAAAGCGGGCCACCGGGCGAATGCGGCGTCGAAGAACCCGGTTCGTGCTCCTGATGATGTGGCGTGCCGACGGTGTGATGAGCGTATATCGAGTCCATGTAAAGCTGATCCGAGACTCGATTTGCCTCCTGACCGAGACCGTGGTTCGGCTGTACCGAGGACGGCGGTTGCATCGCTGTCAAATGCGCGTACCTGCCCTGTTCGTTCGGGCTGTATCCTCCCCCATCCGTTTGTCCTTGCCTATGCGGCGACGAAAGTCCTTGATCGTCGTGCGGACTACGACTGGAACCCGGCGAACTACCGGTTCGCAGCGTCGGTGAACCGCCACCTCCGCTCCCGTTACCCTCCGCTGTCCCACCGCCACCACTGCCGCCGCCGCCTCCACCGCCGCCACTGCCACCGTTGCCTCCACTGCCACTGTTGTTACCGTTACCGCTGTTTCCTCCGCCGCCGCTGCTTCGCATTTGATGTTGAAGATAAGCCGCGTCCGGTAAAACTTCCTCCAAATGATGATGATGATGATGATGATGGCTATGATGCTGCGACTGAGCCTGTTGTTGTTGCTGCTGCTGCTGCTGGTGATGATGATGATTGTGTTGCGGTTGCTGCTGCTGCTGCTGCTGCTGCTGTTGTTGTTGTTGTTGCTGGTGATTATCGTTGGTGCCACCGACCTCGCTACTCGAACTATTGGCACCGGTAGTGCCAAGATTCGGAAATAGCACACCGAGGGTAAAATCTCCGCGAGCACCTCTCATGGCTGCCGCGATTCCGTTCGCGCTTTCCACGTCCTCGTCCGTCTCTCGATGAACTACCGATTGCGACTGCGGCTGCGACTGTGCCTCTTGTTCGTCCAAGCGACGATGATGACTCGTCGTGGCAGAAAGCGCACCGTGGCGAGACGCGTCCGATCGTAAATGCTGCTGCTGTTGGTGATGATGGTGCTGTTGATCGTGGTGGCGATGATGGAGGTGGTGAGGAGAGTGGTGGTTGTCGTGGTGGTGGTGGTGGTGATGGTGATGGTGGTGGTGATCGGTCGCGGTCGGCGACGAGAGCGCTTCAGTACCGTAACGATGCATCGTAGAGCGAGGCGCGTGACTGTCGGCCTGATTTTCCTCCGGCAATACGGAGACCTCGCTCGACCGTTCGTTATCCCCACCCTTGGTAACCGATACTTCTCTCGCCCCCGGTTGAACGTACGCGGACCGAGTGTGACGGTGTTGGTGGTGGTGATGGCAGTCGTCGTCGTCGTCGTCGTCGTTGTCGTGATCGTAGTGGTGGTATTCGCCGTCGTGACCGTAGTGGTGGTGGTGGTGCTGCCGTCGTTGTTGGTGGTGCTGCTGGTGGAGGGGTTGAAAAACCTGTTGCTGTTGTTGCTGTTGACGCTGCTGCTCCTCCTGCTCCGAGAAATCACCGCCTAGATCGCCGCCCTCGTAGCGACTCGAGTCTCGATCGTGATAACCCCTTGACAATCGAACACACGATAATTCGTTAAAATTTCGTCTTTACTTTCACGCTCTAATTCGCCATTCTTTTTTTTTTCTTTTTTCTTTACTTTTCTCTCTCTCTCTCTCTCTCTCTCTCTCTCACTCTCTCTTTCTCGACTACCGGTCTCGCACTCATCCCGTCCCATTGCTTCGAGATCAAGGACGAATACTCGATCGCGATTAATTCGTTCGCGAGTATGTAAGTAAAGTAAGCAAGCAAATAAGCGAGCAAGTAAACGAGTAAGTTTGGATGGAAAACGATTGGTCGAAAAACTGGACGCTTTGCGGAGAACGCGTATACGCTCACCTTTCTTCGTTATCATCGACCGCCTCCTGGATAGCATAGGCCAGCGAATGCGCGTTGTAAACGTCGTCTACGTCGTCTACGTCGTCTACGTCGTCTACGTCGTCTACGTCGTTTCCGTGATCCGTGAAAACGAGGATCGTTACCGGCTCAGTGTTACTCGTCCCTGCGATCGCGCCATTTTCGATTTCCCGCTGTCCCGCCTCTAACACGCCCACGATATCCCCGCCTTCTTCGCTTCCATGCTTTTCGTAAGGGAGCAGTCGGTCCCGTTGCCGTTGCTTTTCTTCTTCTTCCGAT